CCCGCCCCTCGGCCCGGGCTCCGAGCGTGGGGAGAGGGCCCCAGCTGGGCGGGAGCCCCGCGAGAGGACGGCGAAGGGGCGGGGGTGCCCCGGCGGCAGGAGGGCGGGGGGCTGCCGGGACCCTGGGGAGGGCTGTGGGGAGCGCGGCACCCTCCCGACACAGCTCACCTATCGCTCGTGGAGTAGCGAAAGAAGCGTACCTCCCGCTGTGGCTGCTTGTCGCGGTAATGTAGCAACAAAAGCAACTTGTGGGAAGAGGTTTTAACAACCCAAGGGGATTTTAAAAAAAAGCCCTGAAGGCTTATCCTGAACTGTGCGTTGTAACTGCTGTGGCTGCCGTGTGTGTCTTGACATTGTGTTTATTCACTTGCATGTTTGTTGCAGTGCTATGGCTAATGTAAAGACAGAAGATGAAATAATCCTCTTTGAAAAAGAAATGAATGAGTTTTGGACCAAAATAAAAAGCATTTATGGCACAGAACAGATCAATCAGACTTTAGCACTGAGGGATTCATGCAAGGAATCCATAAAAACACTTTCAGGTAAAAATGTTCAATGTTCCTCTTACCTCTGCTTTTTCCAAGTTATCATCAAACTTCTTCAGATAATGGAAATCATTTTCCATTACAGAGAAATGGTCCAAGAAGCTGAAAGAAGGGGACCTGATGATTGACAAAATTCAGGAGTATAGCAATGGTACAGTATGGTGTTTTTTTTTTACTGTGTCTAATACTTCTAAAATTAACTTAATATAGCTGAATAATTAACTTTACATTTTAAAGGGTAAATAACAGCATCAGAATGAAGACAATTAAAACCAAACATACTCGGTTGGTTATAGGTTGTAAATTGCAAGTCAAAAGCAATTTTTCTGAAAACCTCACTGATGGTACAAAAAGATGTAGGTCTAGTAAAAGTTTTCCGTATAGTGTTTTTGGTGGTTAAGTATTTAAAACAACAAAATATCAGAACTTGCTGACTTCAATCGGAAAAGTAAATTAAAATGCTTTATAAAGTTAAATATTGTGAGGTTACTTATGTCTCTTCTATATTAATAATACAGACTATTAGTCTAGGATTAACTTCTCTGAATTTTGCAGTTAAACTTCAGAACATCAAGTAAAAATAATTGCTACTCTAATAATCAGTCAGTGTTTTCATTCCTCACTTTGTCAAATTATTTGTCTATGGACAGGATCCCCATCTTCCTGCTTTGAAGATGTATATAGTGCTGGCACCAGAAACAAATTGTATCTGAATGATGCATCAGAGGAGCTCCCTACTTTGTAGTTTCTCTTTTGAATAACTTCCACTGTAAGCTTTTGTTTGATGTTCTTAGTATAGTTATGCTGACTTCTCTCTTCAGCTGAGATAGCATGTATTTCACTAGGTTTTATTCAAATAAGTCATCTCAAGCTATGTAGGTAAGTACTAAACAGCAGGGACCTAATTAATCAACTATATATGTTCATATTTTGTTCCCTTCTTTCAGAGATTCTCCAGCAGAGCAAACGCATATCAGAAAATCAAGAGCATTTGACAGAAATAAAATCTAACCTAAATCAAGAACAAGAGCAAAAGAAGGACTTGACTGACAGCATTCAAGAGCTTAAGGAAGAGTTGATGAAGAAAAAGGAAAGTAAGCAAAGGATAATAAGTAGATTTTCTGAACTAGAGGAGGAATTGTTTTCAACACTTGCTCCTGATGGCCTTTTTTACTGTTCTAAATATTTTTTTAATGTGCTTGTTTTACCTTTTTACCTTGACATTTATGTTGGCTTTTAAAATTCTAGTAATATCTTCTAAAAACAAAGCCACTAAGGAGAGAGTGGAACGACTGTGTAAGTCTAAAGTTCTCTTTGAAGAGCGGCTTGGATTGGAGATACGCAGAATTCACAGTAAGTTTCTGTAGTTTCCACAGTTTCCATATGCAGTGTGTTACATGTTGTCTCAAATGGCAAAATATGGTATGTTAAAATGCATTTGTCTTTCAAAGAGGCCAGGGTTGCTTAATTTTAAGCACGCTAAGAATATTAATTGAAACTGTAGCTTCATATTGTGATTTTATTCATCATTGTGACTCTCCAGCAGAGGTTAATGGTGTTAATTGTTTGTGTTTGCTTTAGATGAACAATTACAGTTTATATTCAGACACATTGACCACAAAGATCCTGACAAGCCATATGTGTTTACCCTTTCCATAAATGAACAGGGAGATTATGAAGGTATGTGAATTTTGAATACTTAAGAAAGAGGACAGAATCTGATGCCCCATTTGAAAAAGGGGAAAGGTGTGAAGTGCAGTTTAGTTGTAATGTTTTTCTTCCAATTTCTGAATGAAAAATCTTGCAATGGTAATATTTTTTGTATGAAAATATAGCTGCTTATCTCCACTCCATTTGTGGAGTTGCTGTTTACTTTGTATCCAGCCAAACAGGTGAGAGAGATGTACAGAGATAGATGCTTCAGTTTGTAGTTTGTTGCTTCTTCCTTTTATGCTAGAGTGAGTGTTTATGCTGGCAGTCATCATTCGACCTGTTTGAGAAGTCTAGAGGGCAGAAACTAGTTGAATAACAAGAAAACGATTAAAACTTGAAATCCAGCATTCTCTTCTGTGAGGGTATACAGTCTTTCAGATCTTAAAGCTGGTTTTGCAATACAGATCTTGGTTATGAAGAACAGTAGCGGTAATTTGAGCACTGTGCTGATTAGCTTCTAGATGGATGCTACTGTTGCTCTGCTCTGCTTCTAAGTATGGACTGAGTATATTTCTCTTTTTACTAATTCAAATCTGAACTGTGCTGAAGTTAAAAGTTGCCGGTCTACATCAGTTTTCAGTCTGCCTACCTGCTGAGCAACAAAAATGGTTAGAAATGTGTTTCAATTTTTGAGCAGGCTATGTATTACTGGGAATTGCTGTATCAATTCAAGCAGGAGCACACCACTGAGTGGGAGGTCTGGAAATAAAAAAACATTGTGTATTCTTTGAGGCTTTGTCTTTGCTGAAAGAAAATTTAATAGGCAACTAAAAAACAATACTGGAGGAAGCTAAAACATACAAAGATAACACTATGTTTGTGTTTCATAAGTATGGAAAAACACTAATACTAGTTTTTTATAGTAGTCTAATCTTTTGAAAATTTATGTCATTTTAGTGACTTCCTGTACCCCTCCTCTGGACTGTATAGCAGAGTTCCAGCTCAAAGTGAGAGAAACTAATAATTTTTCTGCGTTTGTTGCCAACATCAGAAAAGCTTTCACTGCTTTAACTTATAAATAGTCTGCATAGAACTAGTTTGTATCTCTCTTTCTAGCTGTAGAGCACTCACTTCCTTCCTGTATTGTGAGAGTATGTATTTATTCATGTCTTACTCTAATTTCTAAGAAAAAAAAATGAAAACAGTTTTTTAGTCTACTGTCATAGAGACATTTTGGATCATTCTTCTGACAGTATAATCAACTACTTCCTTAACTGAATGTCTCCAGACATGTAATTTTGATCCAGTAGCAAGCAGCTTAATGAAGTAAGGATCTCTATTTGTAATGAACCCCAGGAAGATATAAAAAATGAAGTATTTTCTGTAACTTATGTCTTCCAAAAGTACAGAAATGTCTTTCAGATTGTATGGGGTTGGAATAGGCCTGAAGTCTACCCAAATAATCCACTGGAGTTTAGCAATTACTTCAATTACCTATGTCACAGGTCACTATCTTAATTTTTACCCTGTCCTGTACTCTCCAGTGTTATCACTCATTTTCACACATGTAAACTGTTGTTTTGGTCTGTTAAACTGTATATTTTACTGCCTATTTCAGATTCTTGTCTAGATGCCTATTTCTGTTATTAGTAACAAAACCACTTGACATGCATGCTATTCTTTAATAAAACTCTTATAGGAGCAAGTAGGAACTTTGTATTGTTTTGATGAGAAATCCTGGAGACCTGAACTAGAATCCTGGCACCCAGAACACCCAGCTGGGCAGAAACGTTGGCCTGAAACTTGAACTGCAGTGGTGAATGAGTAACATTGATAAGATTGCCAGCTTTAGTGTTTTATTTGGTATGTTTTAGAACAGACTAGTCATTTTGTTTTATTACATAGTGTTGCAGTGAAGAACTATTTGTCATCGTCACTGGAAATCTTAAGACATAGCAAAGCCTGAAATACAATGTATTAAAGTATGAAACGTAGTAGTTGCAGATAAACTGGAAGAAACACAGATGATTTATCAAGAAGACTATTCCTGCCACAGTACTGGGCTTTGATTAAAGCTATTCTTATTTTGATCTTACATGTAAAGCCTTTTCTTTTTCACAAAATATTTAAACAGACAGCTGCAACAACTGAGACTCCTCATTTCATAGGAAAATATAGTTCAAATAAAATCTTACTAAATTCAGTCCTGGAAATTCTAGTGAAGTAAAAGACCACTTGAATCGAAAACTAATGATGATCCCTCTTAAAACATAAATATCTAAGTACATAAAAATGAAACAGTGTAAAGAGTAAAAATATTCAATATTCAGAAAACCCTGTGAAAAAGTATTTGGAATTCTAACATTTCCTAAATAATGAAAATAATCCCTTAAATATATTTTTGAAGAATGTTCCAATTTGTTTTTTAATAAAAAGCAAAACTTCAGAATGTTTTCTGTGAAGTGAAAACTCATTTAAAATAACACTTATTTACAGGTGCTTTCAACCCTGTTTTTCCTGTGAGATGCTAGTTCATTTCTTTATACAGCATGTACCTACATGAGCATTTGATTTTTTTATCAGGAGTGGACTTTTAGACTGAATCTCCACTTTGGTTCACATCTCAAATGCAAAATGCATTCCTTTTGGAAGGAAACTGAGAAGCGTATATAATGCGTTCCCACTGTTAACATTATGTAGTCCGTAGGGCAGACCAGAGCTGGTCCAAACCAGCATTTGGTGCAGACGTTGGTCTTCCCGTTTACTAATGTAAATATAGCAGCACTTGCTGTTCTTGCCCCAGCCTATAATCTTATGCTTGGGCAAAAAAACAAAACATACCCCCCTTGCCCCTTATTCCTGTGCCTTTATCAGCTTCTTAATTATGTAAGACCTGGCCATCTAAGCATGTTTAAAGCTAGTGATGCTGATGAGATACTCTTACAACAGTTGAGAATGTTGCTCGGTCAGATGTGAACTGTACTTTAAATCACTTGGTTTGTCTAAACCTAACAGCACCTTGCTGGATACAGCACAGACTGTGCATTCAACCTTCTGCAAAATAGGTGAAGTGCACCTTAACAAAAACCAGGAATCTATGTTGGCTCCAAAAAGAGAGAACCTTCCATTTCTTCCCTATAGGGTGTAATTTGCTATTTTCTAAATAATGCATCATTTCCCTTGGTATGCCCCCTTTTTTTTCTTTTGTGTTACAGCCAGCTATACACAAAACAAGAGCAGTGAGCATGGTAAAGGTGCCAAGTGTTTACATTACAATTTTAGAAGAGAATGGCAGCAGAGATTACTAGGCATTTCTACAATGACATCTCAAATGAAATACCTCCTCAATTTTTGCCCTGTCCATAAACTCCATGTACCTAAACTCAGAATTCTGTAACCAACAATGGAACAAACAGGTGTAGGCTGGGAGACTGCCCTCAGGTACTGGGTCTAGTTGTTCATTACCAGATTTTGCCTCCTTTTCCACCATACTATCAGGAATATTTAAATAGCAGGTATTTCTTTCAATTAATTGCTTCTACCACCAGAAGAATGCTGTAGGCACTTTTATGTAGGCCAACAGAGTAGCCAGTAATTTAAACAAATGCATTCAGCCAGCTCAGCACTTCCCACTGCTATCTTCTCTCCCAGTAACTACGGCTGCTGTATTACCCCACTTTGTTGGCATCTCTTCTCCCTTCCTTGTACAGAAGTCCTCACCTTTTATGTTAGAGAGCCTGTCCCTTCTGGCTTCTCACTAAGGGCATCGTCCCTGTATCCAGAATGACTATTCATTTTGAAGCATTCTCCACCTGTCTGTGCCAAGCAGTTCTCAGTTGCGCTGGAAAGTAAGAACTTCAGGATGCTCAACCAAATACTTAACAGCTGTTGTATGAAAGCAAAAAGATGGGCAGTACAGAGCTACCATGTTTTCAAATGGAGCTACTTATTAAGGGTGTACATACTGATCAGATGCACTCTGGAGCATATCCAATTTGATCATCATCCTCACAGGAGAAAATAAACTGAAATGCCCTGATTAACAAAGACAAATGATCAGGCTTAGTGGCATTTTCTTTTCATGTTCATCCCAGGCATGAGTAGTTGGTTTATTGCCTCTAACAAAATTACTTTGCCAAGATTACTATGCGCAGAACATAAAATATATGACAACCACTGCATTGGAATTTATATTCCTAGGAATTATTTGCTAGAAAAGATGATGTCTGGTTGTAAATGTTCTGTGCATACACCTAAAGCAAGAAGTAAAATTTGAAATGTTTATTCTGTGTAATTTAAACCTTTACAACTCTTTTTGGATAACAAACCTGCTTATATTTGCCAAGGCAAATCAGATGCAGATCTTCCTCTAAAACAGAGCCAGGCATTGCAAAAGCAGGTAAAAGCTAGGAAAGTGTACACAATAGATTTGTTTCTTTGCTTATTATAAAATGTGAAGTAAAACTGTCTTAAAATCTTAAAACCTTTGTGCCTTCATCAAATGCACTTACTGCTTATAGAATTTCACATTGGATCTGTGGCAATTTAGAATTTTCTATTTGTTATGAAGCTGCACAATATAGCAATATTCAGTAACAGTAAGAACAACTAGGATAATACTACATACTGACCCAACAGATACACAGGTACAATTATTGGGACCTCAGTGTACTAGATAGCATATAAATAGAGATAGAAATGCCCTAAAGAGCATATGGGAAAGCTTTTGAGCCCCAAAGCAATATGCAGTTTAGGAACTATGGCACAATCATCCAGCCCCCTCCAGTTGGTGCTAGTGCTCTACCTGTTAGCAGGATCATAGGTAGCATGTCATTAAGGCAGACATAGGCTTTAGTGAAGGTCAGTAAAGGCTTTTATTTTTTCATAAATCAGTTTGCCCAACCCTGAACATTACTTTCCTTTTCAAACTGCTGACCTGTACTTAGCTACGAAGGGTCAAACCTGAAATGTGTGGACCATCAACTAATGCTGACTATACAGAAAACTGCTGATGTACTGGTGCTCAGCACCTCATCAAATTTATCTCATAATATAATGTAAAAATCTGGAAAAAAGGTGTTGAATTTATTAGATATTGGAAATACACTGTATATTTAAGGACTGCTGGGAAGACAAAATAGTATTAAACATTAATAACATGTATTAAGTGCAAATGTTGTTTGTATGTTAGCTGGAGGTCCGATTTGAAAAGAAGCTGAATTACCGTTAGTCCTTCTGGCTAACAGAATAGTTTTATTACACACCTACACAACCAAAAGTGGAGGTGGTTTAGCTGAGTTTGTTGACATTTTTCATAAACCCTCTTGGATGTTGCTAGACATATTTTGAAAAGCAAACAAGTATTGGCTACACTTGTGAAAATTAAGAAAGATGTGGAAGTTATGCAGTGCTTCTGTCATATTCCAATTGTGTTTCTACTTACTGTCTTCTCTAATGCTTCAATAAACTGTTAATTTATTTAGTACCTTGGAATTGTCTAAATTAAATCCTGTCATTATAATAGTCTAAAATCACTGTGAACTCATTTGTGAGTGATTTATAACTTTTTTAAAGCCCTGCTGAACCCAATACAAAAACCATATGCACGCATAAATCCCTTAGTCCCACAGCCATATTACAGTACATTTTTTAACTGCATGAATAAATTGTACTAAATAATTATGGTAATACTCTTACCTTTTTGAAAGCAATAGTTGCAATCCAATTACATCTGGCTTTACTGCTGAAATAGGACTGTATGCCTGAAGGGTTGGGCGGAATTGCTCCGACTGCCAGACAGCAAGACTCCATTCTTTCTGTCCTTCTCATTATCCCTCATCCCTCTAACAATTATACCCAAAGAACCCTGTAGAATCTTGAGCTTTTAAACACGTCGTTCCAGCAGAAGCAGAGGTAATGAAGCCTGATTTCCTACAGATCTGTGGTTTTCCCCTTAAATGGTGCCATTCTCTTCACTGCAATATCCCAGCTCTTCCTTAGTTTCCCTGGTGGATGAGAGCCAGTGCCACTCCTGAGTTACGGTAGTTTAGCCTCTGCTTGGCTGCTGCTAAAGCCACAGGACACTGGTTGCACTCTGCCTACCCTTCCTCCAGTGCAGAGCATTGATTTGTGGGTTTTTTCCTTTACCTGGTTGCTGACTTCTAGTACACTGTAAGAACAGTGATAGCTGCAACACAATCTCTT